GAGGAAGTAAGACTTTTCTTACAGCAGACGATAAAGACTGATGAGAGGATCAAATCGGTAAAGGCCGCAGGGAGAACAATTCATACCGAACAGTTTCCACAAGAAGATTGTATTCGACTTAGTCCATGTGTGACGTGTGGTCCTAATCCTTGACACCCATGTAGTCCATGCCGATGCGGTGCACCATGCGCTCGACCATAAACGTCACTATCTCTTCAAATGTATCCACGACAGAAAATTTCGTTGTTGTGGGGGGGGGGGGGGGCAGACGTTGTCTTTGGTACTCCACTCCAGGCTGGCCAACTAGAGAGGAGGGGACCGAGACCGAGGAGGATGGAGAACACGCAGGCAACACATGTGGTGTCTTCGGAGGGACTGGAGGAGCTGGTGAAGCAGATTGACCCAGCTGAGGCTCTGGACAACGAGGTGAAGGAGGTACGGGGTTTGAGAGGCTGAGGTGCGGACGGGAGGGGGGGGGGGGGGGGGGGGAGGAAGGGAAGGTACTCATGTAGGTATGAATGGACATTGATGTGGGTGTGGTGGCTGGTGGCTGGTGGCTGGTGGCTGGTGGCTCGGTGAGTGCAGGTCCTGTTTGAGATTGCCGACGACTTCATCGAGTCGGTCACCTCCTTTGCCTGTGCTCTGGCCAAGCATCGCGGCTCGGACACGCTGGACGTCTCGGATCTCAAGCTCCACTTGGAGCGTAACTGGGATATCCATGTTCCGGGCTTTGGTGGTGTGGACATGGACGTTGCTCAGATCCCGCCCGTCACCGACGCTCATCGTCAGCGCCAGGCCGCTGCCAAGGCCGTCGCCGACTCGATCCTCCCGTAGAGAATGGCGGGCAAGTGAAGGAACTGATGCCATGGAGATAGAGAAAGTGTATGTGTGTATGTGTGTGTGTGTGTGTGTGTGTGTGTGTGTGTGTGTGGAGGGGGGGGGCAACCGGCATGTGCCATTTGCTGTTGCCCCTTTGGTCGACATTGACTAGCAGAGAGCAGCAGCATGAGGAGACAGAGTATAGGTATGGGCATAGGTAGGGGTATGGGTATGAGTACACTCAACTCGGTAGAGTGAGGCAGTAAGAGTAGCCACATACGTACATAGAGAGGGAGTATGGCAAGTGCTGCAGTGGGTGCAGGGGAGAAGCATGAGTATGAGGTGGGCGATGAGAAGGTCGGCGGCGGACGTGGCGGGCATGGAGGCGGTGATGGTGGCGGGCATGGAGGTGGTGGTCGGAGTAGTGGACGGAGGAGAAAGAGAAAGAGACTGGGTGAGTATGTCCTGGTGCGTGAGGTTGGTGCTGGCGCTACGGGAACGGTTTGGCTCGCGGAACGGCGTGTGGAAGCGGGTCTCGGACCGCCTCTCTCGGGTGTCGTCATCCGTGGTGATGGGCGCCTGGTGGCTCAGGTGGCCATCAAGTCGATTGCAAAGGCAGAGCTGAAGCCAAAGGATCTGAGGAGGATTGCAAGGGAGATTCTCATCATGCAACAGTTGAAGCATCCCAACATTGTTCAGCTCCATGAGGTGCTCGAGACAAAGACCAAGCTCCATCTGGTCATCGAGTACTGTGCCGGCGGCGAGGTTTTTGAGCATGTGGAGAAGCACGGGCCCATGACCGAGGCCTACGCCAAGGTTGTTGTCCGCCAGGTCGCCGAGGCCCTCAAGTACTGCCATCGTAACGGCGTGGCTCATCGCGACGTCAAGCTGCAAAACATTCTCATGGACGCCTCGCATCAGATCGTCAAGCTCTCCGACTTTGGCATGTCGTCGATGGACGTGACGACCAAGAGCCTTCTTGCGACGGCGTGCGGGACGCCTTACTATGTGGCGCCCGAGGTGACGTCGGGCCAGGGCTACCGTGGCTTCCCGGCGGACGTGTGGTCGCTCGGCGTCTGCCTCTATGCGCTCATTGCTGGCCAATTTCCGTTTGACGGCACTTCAGTGCGCTCCGTACTGCAACGGGCGCGCGACGGTGTCTTTACCATGCCCGGCAACGCGAGCGCCGAGCTTGTGGAGCTCCTCCGCAACACGCTCAACGTTGACGAGGACGCGCGGTGGACCATCGACGACGTGCTGGCCTCGGCATGGCTGGCCTCGCTCTCGGGTGGGCCGTCAGGAGGCCGGTCGGCACGGTCACTGTCGTCGGCATCGGCGTCGTCCCCTCCGCTGTTGTCGGCGACGCTGCCGCTGCCCGGCACCGCAGACGCCGCCGGCGGGCCTTCGGGCGAGCGCTCGGATGGCACTACCGACGACGACGAGCTCGACGACTGGGTGTGGATCGACTCGACCTCGTCGGGCGCCATCAACACGGTGGACATTGCCAAGACGCGCGCCGCCGGGGTGCGGGTCGTCATTCCGCCACGCCACCCGCCGGCGGTGCCGTCGGCGCCGGCCCGCGCGCCGGTGGTGCCGTCGGTTCCGGTCCCGGCCATGCGAGCATCGCGGCCGTGGATGGAGGCGGGCGCACCGTCGATGTCGTCGGTCCTCTCGGCGTCGTCCGACTCGTCGGTCGCGTGGACGCCGTCGGCGGCGGACATGGCCCATGGCACGTTTGTGGGCACGCCGACGCTTTTTGCCGAGCACCAGGGCCCGACGACAATGTTTGCGACGCCGCCGTCGACCGCTCTCGCGCTTCCGCAAACCTACGAGCCCGAGGCCAACATTGTGCTGCCCGACGAGCGGCTGTCAGACCGCGAGATGTATGCGTCGATCTCATCGGCATGGACCCACACGTCGTCGACCGACTCGCTCGTCTCGTCAGATGACGGCCACCTCGACCCTTCCATCCTCCCGGACCGTCCCGGTGGGCTCTGGGCCCGGCGCGGCTCAGGCTCGGGCTCGGACTCGGGCCTCGGCGTGCGCGGACCCGACTCGTCGTCGGTCTCAATCTCGCTCTCGCTCTCGGACGACCTCATCCTCGGGCCTGTTCCGCCGGCCGCCGACTCACCGGCCGCCAATCTTGCCGAGCTGCCGACGGCGCCGCCCAAGGTTTAGTCCCCTCTCGCAGCATAGGGCATCGGTCATGATGAATGTTTAACGGCGTCGGGCTAAGCAAGGAGATAGGGCGGTAGGATACGTGGAGGAAGCTAGTCCGAGTCGGAACGGGGCAGGTTGCTGTCCGAGTCAAACTGGGCGTTCCACTCTGCGACCCATGCGCGGTACTCGGGCTGTGTGTACCAGTCGTCGTCGAGGGCCTCCATGTCCGAGAGGCTCGCCTTAAAGGGGAAGGGCAACAACTTTGTTCCATAGGCAGCAGGCGGCGACGGCGGCGGACTGTCGACAGCCTCGCCAGGAGCAGCTGTGGGGAAGAGAATGGGCTGATCGATGGAGACGGCCCGCTCGCCGCCCTTGCGCTTGGTCGACGTCGCCCGCTTGGCCGAGCCCTGCCGGTGACGGTACTTGCGGTAGGCCCGGACGGGCACAGCGCCCGCCACAGAAACCCAAGTCTTGGCCACAACAACACGGCACGCACTGAGCATCCTTGTGTTCCCCCAAAGTCGAAATGCAGTCGCGTGTGCCTTCCCTATACCTTCCGCTACCTGCCCACCCCTCGGTCGGCCGTGGATGTCGCGCCGAGCCAGATCGTCCGCCCCGTCCACTCGCCCGCTCGCTCGCCCACCATCCACCATCGCCGCTCTGATGCTGCGAGCGCTGGTCTTTTCTCAGCTGCTCTTATCTGGACTCATCGACATCTGGTGATTCTTGCGACGGATGTGTGATTGTTGGGTGGGTGGGGGTCGCGGGGGGTGATCGGGATCCAGAACGGGACGAGGTGCGCGAGGCTGTCGAGCTTGTGTCGAAGTAGAGGTGATCACGTACAGTAGCGAGCGGGGGATCGACGGGAACACGAGTTTAGGCTTGAGATGGGCGTGCGCGAGCGCGGCAATTTTCACGAGCTGTGGCTCCTTGTCGAGCCGTTGTGGGCGTTCGAGAACACGATCGAACAATGATCACGATCAGTTACGAGGAGCCACGGGGAGCCATGGGGAGCCACGGATAGCCACGGGTAGCCACGATCAACCACATCAGCCACTCTGCCGTACTTACTTCTTGCTCTTTCCCGCCTCCTTCGCTCCAGCCTCGGCCTCCCGAGCGTCAAGAGCCGCCAACTCGGCCCGAATGAGACGTAGCCGCCGCTCGCCCGCCAGCACATCCATGGCAGACGACATCGATGCCTCCCGCTCGGCTTCGTCAATGTCCTCCTCCGTCTCCTTCAGCATCTCGAGCAGTTCGTCCCGCGTAAACTTGCTCCCGTCAGACATCCACTTGTGGAGCAGGAGACGAGTGTATGCTCGGCCAGGCGGGCTCCTAGGCGAGATCGCAGCAGCTGGCACTGGGCATAGACGTCTGCGGTAGACACTCCTATGATACCTCTTTGACCGCGATCTCGGCCGTTTGGCCCCTAGCAGGGCAGCTCCGAGTACCTCGTTGCGGGCAGCAGATCATCGCCACCATTCGCGCGAGCACAAGGCATAAAACCCTGCTCTACACTTGCTCCGGCATCAGCCATCATTCTCACCCAACCGCGATCACTTTGGCCCAGGCAAGAGCATCAGCAACGCACCAGGCTCGCCGTAGGTGGGCATGATTGGGGCAGCTGATCGGGGGAGAAAAAGAAAAGAAAGAGAAGAAAAAAAACAGCCCACCAAGATCAAGTTGCAAGAGCTGACCGCACGTGCAGCTTTGGGCTCTGGGCCGAGGACGGCGAGACAGCCGCAGACGTGACTTGCAGACAACCGTGGGTATGGGCAAATACCTTTGCGTGGCATGTATGCTGGCAGTGGTGGTGGTTGTGGGCATGAGTGTGGAGGCGGAGGCGAGCGTGCGGACTGTCTTTGTCTCGCCAACCGGTTCGGACAGCAACAGCGGGAGCGAGTCATATCCGTTTGCCACACTCGGGCATGCCATTACCTCTGCTGGCGAGAATGGAACAGTCAATGTCCTGGCAGGCGTTTACACTCGCATTCCGTCCATTGATGTCGATGGCATTGTCATCAACGGCTACCCTGATCTCAAGCCGAGGAAGCATGTCATCTCCTTCCTCCACACCTATCCCTCGCCCGTCCTGTCCATCTCGGCCAAGCGAGTCATCATCAACGGCATCGGCTTCTCGCAGTCACGCGGGTACGCCGGTACCTACGGCGCTGTTCATATCGCCCGCCCGGCCGAGGTCGCCATGCAGCAATGTGAGTTCTGGGACAACTCGGTCGGGATCTCAGTCATGGGCGGCTCGGTGGCTGTCGGCCAGACCGCGTTCTCCACCATCCTCTCGGACGGCAAGTCCGGCACGGCGGTGCTCATGCAGTACGGCGACTTTGGCAACGGCGGCCAGGCCGCGCTTGAAAACGCGGTCGTGTACGGTGGCACGGATCTGAGCTCGGCCAAGGGGACGGCGGTCAAGATCTCGGGTGGGCCGGCGACGTTTGAGGCGTTCAACACGGTCTTTGCCAACCTCGCTGCAGTCTCGACCATGGGCTACATCAACAAGGATGTCCAGCTTGTGTTCTCGTCGGCCAACGTGACCGGAACAACCCGTGCGTTCTACGCGTACGGCATGCAGCAGCCAGGTCGCGGCCAGCTGACCATCGAGAACTCGGTGGTGGCCAACGGCGGCGGCTCGGACGTCGACGGCCCTGGCGTGTCGGTCGGCTCCGGCGTGACGGTTGCTATCAAGGCCACGACCTTCAGCTCGCTCACCACCACCGGCAACGGGGCGCGCTCTACTGCGGCGACCAGGCGTCAATGTCGGTCATCGACTCGACGCTCGTCGACAACTCGGCGGCCGATGGCTCGCCGGCGTGGTGCTCTTCCTCCTGCGGCTTTGTTGCCGACAATGTCTCATCGCAGCACAACACTGCCAAGTCGCAAACCGGCAAGTGTCCCGGCGTGTAGCAGGTGGAACACCCTCGGCAACGTCCGCATCCCCACGAGCGATGAATTTCTCCACTATGCGCAACATGCGCGCATAAACACACACACACTCTCTCTCTCTCTTCAACATCTCATCTCAGCCCTCCTTCGCCAGCTATCGTACGGGCGAAATCAGGCGACACTGCCCTCCCCCAGCCTGGCAACGGCGGCTGTTTACGGAGCCCGAGCCTCAATCCTCCGCCCGCCTGCCCGTCCACACGCCTCACCAACCCACTCGTCTCCACCTCCTACCTCGCTCCCGCGACTCATCATGGCCATGGACGAGCGCGAGCTCTTCCAAGTACGAAGCCCAGCCACCGCTCCCCATCCCACCTCCATCACCTCCCATCCCCCCCCCCCCCCCCCTCTCCTTCTCTTCACACACACTCACGCTGTTCGCAATGGCGGTGGTAGGCTCTGACCCGGGCACTGGAAGAGGTGCGGGTGAACGGAGTGCCGTCTGGAGAGGAACCATCGCGTGTGCTGTCACTGCAAGGATTGATTGGCGTGAGCGGAGAAGAGCTTCTGGACATGGTGGAAGAGTGTGGTACCGTCACCCACTATGTGGTTACTCCTGGTCTGGCATCAGCCATGTTGATCTTTGCTACCCAGCGAGATGCTGAAGCTGGTCATGCTCGTCTCAGGAATGCTCGGCTTGGGGAGCGGCCCGATGAGTATGTGGTCAAATTTGGCAAGAACCCTACGTTGTCGGATGAAGAGCTCTCCAGGCTGCTCCTTGTTCCACCGCACAAGACAAACTTTCTCATCTCGCCGCCGCCATCTCCGCCTGATGACTGGATCCCCGGTCCGGAGGACGGGCCCAACTCGCTGCAGGCCCCGGACGTCGACGAGCCCATTGTCCTTGATTCGCACGTTGTTCTCCTCTCCACCGACTCGCAGGACATGCCCAACATCCACTTTGAGCCGGCGTAAGGTCAGGCTGCTCCTTGCCGCGCCTGCGTCGCCTGGCCCGACTCTTGACTGATGTCGGCCGCCGGCTCGACCACAGACGCCCCTTGCCCGTGTTGATCACATCCCCCTGTCTCATCCAAGCCGCTGCGATGAAGAAGCTCAAGAATTATGCGAAAGCTTTCCTGCCGACAACCATCTCCATGGTGCGCCACATCAGATGTGTGTGTGTGTGCAATTTGCTTTGCTAAAATACTGCAGCATCCACGATCTCTGTTTCTGTGGAGACACATCCGTGTCCTCCGCCTTCCTCCCCCTCCCACCCCACCCTGCCACCCCCCCCCACACCAACCACCTCACCTCCTTCTTCCTTACCCACACCACCCACCTTTCTCATCCCTGCATCCATCACCACCATCACCACCCAAATCACCTCCCCATCAGAAGACCAGTCATCCCGAAAACCAGCTCGTGATTTCATGCTGCCCCCCCCCTCACCCCTCCCCCCCCCCCCTCTCCCCCAACGGCAGCCAAACTCTCTGGCGCCACACCACCTCGCTTCGTTCACCAAAGCCCCCCCCCTACGAGCTACGGCAGTTGTCGTTTGATTTGGCTCTCAGCATGCTTACTTTGCACGGATTGCGTGGCCTCGTTGGAGCAGGCGGGCTCGGAAGGGTTGCAGGCGTGTTGGCTAGCCGGAGCGCGTCGTCGCAGGCTACTCAGCCGCCCGAGTCGCTCAAGACTGATTGGCTCACGCTCCCGACGTCGGACCAGGTCTTCCATCCGTCGAACCTCAACCCTCACTTGGTCAAGATGGAGTATGCTGTCCGCGGACTGCTGGTGCAGACAGCAGAGAAGCTCGAGGCACAGCTCCGCCGAGGCGAGCTCGATGATGCTCCGTTTGACAAGATTGTGTACTGTAACATCGGCAATCCGCAGGCGCTCGACGACATTGCGCTCACCTTTATCCGGCAGGTCCTTGCTCTGGTCACCTACCCTGGACTCATCGATGCGGTCCGCGGAGGCCAGATCTCGGAAGAGCTCTTCCCATCGGATACGGTTGCCCGGGCCGAGGACATCCTTGCTTCTGTGCCTGGCGGCGTCGGCGCGTACTCGCATTCGATGGGCATTCCCTACGTCCGGCAAAAGGTGGCGCAGTTTATTGAGGAGCGCGACGGATACCCGTCCGATCCAGAGGCCATCTTCATCACCGACGGCGCGTCGCCGGGCATCTCGACCGTCATCCAGTCGCTCATCCGCGGGCCGAACGACGGCATCCTCCTTCCTGTCCCGCAGTATCCGCTGTACTCGGCGACGGTGGCGGCGTGCGGCGGAACGCAGGTCGACTATTACCTTGACGAGGCCAATGGGTGGTCGCTTGACGTGGCTGAGCTCGACCGGGCGGTGACCGAAGCCAAGGCCAACGGCGTCGGCCCGCGGGCGCTCGCGGTCATCAACCCGGGCAACCCGACCGGCCAGGTCATGTCTGCGAACAACATCGCGGACGTCATTCAGTTCTGCGCCGACCACCACCTCATTGTCCTTGCCGACGAGGTCTACCAGGAGAATGTGTACGATCCAGACAACAAGCCGTTTGTCTCGTTTAAGAAGGCGCTGATGGACTCGGCGCCGGGCGTCCGCGACCGAGTCGAGCTTTTCTCCTTCCATTCAGTTTCCAAGGGCATGCTTGGCGAGTGCGGCCTCCGCGGCGGCTACATGGAGGCGCACAACATTCACCACGATGGTATGGCGCAGCTGTACAAGAACGTCTCGGTCTCGCTCTGCTCCAACACCATCGGCCAGCTCACCGTCGGCCTCATGGTCGACCCGCCCCAGCTCGGTGACCCGTCGTACCACCTCTACACCAAGCAGTACCGCAAGCAGTACAAGTCACTCAAGCGCCGCGCCCTCGCCCTCACCGACGCGCTCAACTCGATGGAGGGCGTGAGCTGCAAGCCAGCGTCGGGCGCCATGTACGCCTTCCCGCAGATCACCCTCCCAGCCGCCGTTGCTGCCGCTGCTTCGGACCTCTACATGTCGCCCGACACGTACTACTGCCTCGAGCTACTCAAGGGCACTGGCGTGTGCGTCGTCCCCGGCTCCGGCTTTGGTCAGGTCGACGGCACCTACCACTTCCGCACCACCTTCCTCCCGCCCGAGCACGAGCTTGCCAAGGTCGGCGAGACCGTCGCCAAGTGGCATGCCGAGTTTATGGACAAGCACCGTGGCTCGTGAGCGCGTAAAGCTACACAGACTCCATGCTACTCACTCTTTGCCGCTGATGCTCGGCCCTGCCGCGGCGGCCACCTCGAGGTGATGCACGAGGGCGGTGAAGAGCGAGGCCGGCAGCGAGCGGGTGCCGGGCGAGAGCGGAGCTGGCAGCGCTGGAGCTGACTGCTTTGGGCCGGCACGGCGAGCCGCGAGTGCAGTGGCGGCTGCCTCGGCGCTCTCCATCGCGCTTGTGAGCATGTCCTGCGACTTGGCGACAACGTCCAGCTCCAGAGCCACGGCGTCGCGGCGGGTGCGGAGCCGCCGCAGGCCGCGCTTAGACGGCCCGTCGCCAGGCACAGGATTCGCCTTTGTCTCACAAAGATGGACATCGAGCTGCTCGGCCTCGAGCGCAAGGAGCTCAGCCAGGACCTCGTGATCAGCCTGCAACGCAGCTGCCGTCGACTGGAACAGCTCCAGCTCAACAGCTGCCGCGTCGCGCTGCGCCTCGTCCCCGCCCTCGCCGGACAGCACTCGCGCCGCCCTCGCCCACACAGTAGTGAGCAGGCGCATGGCCTCGGCGGTCTCGGCCTGGAGGACAAGCAAGTTGGGCGGCTCGTAGTCGGACGAGGTGGTCGACTCGTCGAGGCACGAGTCGGAGCACGACGAGAGCGAGAAGCCCATCTCGTTCCGCTCGACCATGTCCATCACCATGTCAGTTGTCGGCGTGAACGGGACCGACTCGGCCTCGGACGAGTCCTCCGAGTACGACTCGCGGCGGATGGCTACCGGCGCAGGGCGTCGCGAGTCGAGCTTTCGTCGGCGCCCAGGTGGAGGTGGTGGCGGCGACGACGATGACGACGATGACGACGATGATGATGATGACTCGGACGACGACGATGACGACTGTGGCAGCGGCGGAGACTCGCGGCTGCCGGCATCACGCACAGCAGCAAGGGTCACAGCGTCAATGGCTTCGTCCAGCAGCGCATCGGCCATGACCGGCACCAGCGCCGACGTCAGGTCGGCGGCCACCGTGTCGATGATGCCATCGTCTGCGACGTTCTCAGCGAGCTCGACAACCACCTCGTCGATCACCAGCTCCGCAGCAAGCGACACCAGTGTCTCCGTGCCTGACTCGAGAGTGTCGTTCTGATCACACTCACCACTGCTGCTTTCCTCAACCGCCAGCACCGCATTGAGCTCTTCATCATCCGGCCCTGATCCCCAGGCTCCACCGCTTCCGCTTGACGACCCCCATCCCGAGCCGTCGGAACTGATGTCCTGCACATCATCGATCTCGTCACCACAAACGTCAGCCTGGCCATCACTTTGATCGACACCAAGGCCAGCAGCTCCATGCCCGAGCCGTCCACCTCCATCGCTCTCTGTACTGCACTCCCAGCCCGAACCGGACTCACCCGAGTGCTCCGCCTCAACGGCACTCGGCCTGGCCGGACCACTGCTGGCGAGCACCACCCCGCGCCCACGCACAGCCGCAACACGGGGAGCTGCTTGTACGCTCGCCTCGAGACCAACTTGGGCAAAGATATCCATGTCCGCCGAGACGCGTATGCGTGTAGGTTTATGTAGCTTGCCGCCGCGCGAGCTGACTCGAGTTGGCCCCTCTCCCTCCCTTCCCCCCCCCCCCCCCCCCCCGGCATTAAAGACAACGACACGTTCATTCATCGCCATCGCTGGAGGATGGCGGGACGGCGTTGATCATACCGCTTGCAATCGAGCTGGCCTGCTGCGGCTCGACAACGTCCATGTCAACGACACACAAGTCGGGCTCGCCGCTGCTGAGCGACTCGGCTTCGGTGGCGATGGCGTCGACAAGAAGGGTGGCGAGCGGGGCGAGGGCGGCAATCTGAGAGTCGGGTCGGCTGGCGGCGACGCCGGCGATCCACGACGTGGATGACAGAAAGACCGGGAGCAGCGGCTCAAGCTGCGGGAGGAGCAGGTCCGGCCGCATGTGCAGCGCCATGCCGATGAGCACGAGGATGTCGCGCATGTAGGCGGCAGAGGCGGCGACGGTGGCAGGCGAGTGCGTGTCGGACAGGGCGAGGGCAAACCGCGTTCCTGACGCCGGCGGAGGACCAAGAACAAAGACCTCTTGCGAGAGCGCCTCGACCAGTCGGACGATGAGGACAAGGCTCCGGTTTCGGGCAGTTGTGCCAGCAGTTTGCGACATGGCGGTGCCGAGGACCTGCGAGGCTGCAATCTGCGAGCCAAGCGTTCCGGTTGCCTGCGGCAGCGGAGTCGTGTCGAGCAGCGTCTCCAGCCCGGCATCGCTCGTTGCCACGACGTACGACAGGATGCGGACGACGCGCCGGCGGAGGCGGCGGACCTCGTCGGGCGCGTACTCGGTCGACGCCGAGAGCAGTGCCGCCACCCGCAGCAGCGGCGACGTCCTGCTTGGCTCAAGCAGGAGCGCCAGGAGCCGCGGCGCGCGGACGAGCGCCTGCAGCAGCTCGACAGCGCCCTCACGGATGGCCAGCGGCTGCTTTGGCGAGAGCAGCGCGTCGAGGTAGCCGCGCGAGAACAGGATGCGGAACGAGGCGAGCGTGTCCGGCGGGAGCGCGCGAGCCACAAAGGTGAGCGCCGCCACCAGCGCTGCCACCGTCTCGTCCGCCATGAACTTTTCAAAGTTGTCGAGCATGTAGCGGACGACCTGGATCGGGTTCATCGCGGCACGCTCGTCGTCCCACCGCTCGCCGCCGAGGTCCATCGCTCGCGGGCCTGAGCCGTGCCCGGCGGCGGCGTCGTCGTCAGAGTCAACAATGGCACCAGCTAGCGGCGAAGAGACGGGATCAAAACCGGCGCCCTGACTTCCGCCGGCACCAAAGCCAAGCTCGGCGTCAGCGGTCGCCGAGTTGGCGAGCAGGGTTCGTGCGTCGGGCGAGAACGCGAGGATCGCACCGAGTACCGACAGCACCGCGGCGTGGACCTTGGCCGGCGCCTCGGCCACTAGGTTGGCGCCAAGGAGAGCAAAAAGGTCCGGGAGGCACGCCGGCTCACACGAGGTGGCAAGCATCCGGAGGAGGATGCCGAGTAGCGCTTGCGAGAGAGCGTCGGCATCGTAGCTGGCCTCAAGTCCTCCGGGCCGCGGACCGGCGCTGCCGCCGACACTCAGTGTGCCGCCGCCCGAGCCGAGAACTTGCGACGCCACAGGCGTGGTGTGCGAGAAGCCGAGCCGCATCCGCGGCCGGTGTACCGGGCTGCCTGGTAGCCGCGGCGCAAGACCAGCTTCGCCGGCCGCATTGATGGTCGCTGCCGTGTCGGGCGTGCCTGTTGACTGCAGCAGCAGATGCACCGCACTTGGCACATGGCTGAAGAGGGCATGGACGAGCCGGCGGTAGTCGTCGAGGTCGTTGAGGTGGGCGTGAAGCGCGTCGCGCATCCGCATGCGCGGTGGCGGTGGCGGCGCCTCGACTGGCGGTGAAGAGCTTGTCTCTAGAGCCGATGCACCGCTGGTGGTACGGGTTGGGCGGACAGGGGTGTCGAGAAAGCCCTCGCCAAACATCATCATATGGGCCGGGCTTGGTGCTGGCGGTTGCGGCGGGGGAGCCGAGCCAGCAAGCGTACGTGCTCGACGTGGGCGGCCCGAGGTGGGAGTCTGTGACGAGCTCCCCGCGCGGGCCGAGCGGCCGGAGCTGAGAGCACCGCCTCCTGCAGTGAGCGACTCGCGCATGCGGCGCATCTCCTCTTGAAAGAACTGCTGCTGGGCACCCTTGGCCTCGTTGACCTGCTTGAGCTGGCGTTGTAGCCTGCGGGCCTCTTCCTCGTGGTTGCGGGCCTCATTCTGCTTGAACGACAGCTCTGTTCGCATCTGGTTGACCTCGTCGGTCAGGCGCTTGATGGCCCCGTTGGTTTCCATCTGCGCGTTCTGACGCGCCTGCATCTCACGGGCCCGGGCCTCGACGAGCTCACGCTCATGAACCACAAACCTGTCGCGCAAGTTGGTGATCTCGCCGATCTTAGTCTGCAGCTGGGCAACCAGCTCGTCGCGGGTCATTAATTGGATGGGCTTGTTGCTCGGCGTCGGCGGTTCTGCCAGCCGCGGCCCCATATGTACACTGCCTTCGGTCCTCGCTCGCGTCACGGCCGGGCTCGCGGCCGACAGCGATTGCGAGGCGTGAGACGAGAAGAGCGAGCTCTGCCGCTGCGGTGTCTCGCCGCCCTTCTGCGACGCCATGTTCAGCGGACGCACCGGCGCAGTCAGCGAGCCGGTCGATCGGCTGGCGAGCCGCATCGACTGCCTCTGTGACGAAGACGTCGTTTGCGCGGCAGGCGGCGGTGGACGCGGGCGCTGACTCGAGGCCGACGGTGGCATGGGCAGCGCGATTGAGCCCTGTGACGTCGGCTCGACACGCGGCGTTTGCGACATCTGCATGGAGAGCATGGCCGGGTCGTCAAGCAGGGCGGTGCATTCGTCCCACTCGAATGATGACAGCACTTTGAGCGCCTCTGATCCATGGTTATCACCTTTGCCCGTCGACGGCCGGGTCTCCAGCACCGCCCGCTGCAGCAAGAGCGCCGGTGGGAGGAGGTGCGACCGCAGCCCGCAGACCGAGAGCCACCCGCCCATAGAGCCACACTGGTTTGTGAGTCACTCCCATACGCCTCCCCCCTCCCCCCCCCCCCCCTTTCTCCTCTCTCTCTCCCCCCCCCCCCCTCCCCAGCACACCCGCTCCGACAGAGAGCCCTGTCCCCGTAACTACGACCTTTTTCAGCAGGACGTACCCGTCGCGGTCGCATGGAGACGAATGGGTGACGATTGTTTGTTGATGGAAACATAGGATTGTTCGGCAGGCGGAAAGTGCGCGTCAGGGCAGCCAGACTGAGGAACGGGTCGGGAGGTCATGGCAGCGAGGAGCAGGAGCGGGGGGCGGGCAAGGGGTATACCACACTCATTATGTCGTCTTCGTGCTCTGGACTGTTTGAGGAGCTGCGCCTGTGTATCAAGGCGTCTCCGTGCATGGCAAATGGACGCACCTTTCATCAGTGTCTTCATGCCATGGCCAAGGACGACGACGAGGTGGCGCCGTGCCAAGCTGTCCGTGCCTCGTACGCCCAATGCAAGCGGGAGCAGATTGATCGCCGTGCACGGATGAAGGGCAACTCTGGACACTGATGATAAAGCACAAATGGAGGTGTGGAGGAGTGGCGTGGTGATGTTCATTGTGCGGAGCTCTGGCTGGTGGCGGTCACTCGACGACCATAGCGGCAGGAGCCTGGCGAGGGAGGGCGCGATGGAGGCGCTGGGTAAAGAGGCCAACAGCGGCATCAAAGGAGAACGGCATCTCGCGGTTGCGACCGCGGACGGTGCGGAGGGCGAGCTTGGAGGAGAGGAGGGCGGACGACGACGATGCGGCCTTGCACTCTTGGTAGACGTCGAAGCAGAGAGCTAGCTTGCGGAGCTGGTACGAGAGGACCTCGTTGTCGTTGGGTAGCGGCAGCTCCGAGTGATAGACGTTGACCTCGGCGGCCATGACGCCGACGTTGTTGTCGGTGGACAAGCCGGCCTGCTCGCTGTTGCTGAGCTCGAGGTGAAAGAGCGGCGGGCGGGCAGGGTACTCGTTGGTGATGGCGACAGTGGCTGTGAGGGTGGCACCGTCGCGGACAAGCTCGGCCAGGTAGACATCAGTCTGCAGGGCCGGATCAGCGACAGCAGTGAGGACTGGCGAGGCCGCAATCGCGGTGTCAGCATCGGCGGCGCTCAGCTGCCGCCACGAGCGGAGCGAGACGCGGGTTTGGAGCGGGAAGGAAGGCGAGACGAGCTTGGCCAGCGGAAGCGTGCCATTTGCGAGCTCAGACAGCTGGCAGTCGAGCGCACGCCCGGCGTTGAGCCGGTTGCGAAGTTGGGCCAGAATGGCTTTGACGCCGACCGAGAGCGGGACCGAGCTGGCGGCGTTGTTTCGCGCGGCGCGAGAAAGTTGTTGCCCGCGAGCCACTGGGCCCACAGGTATGGCTTGAGCGAAGCGACGGCGAGCGGCGGCGCAAAGCGGAATGGCTCGCCCGAGGCTGTGCCCAGGTACGCGTTGGCCGGGTTGGGCGACGTCTCGCCGGCGTCGCCTGGGAAGAGATTTGCCAGCAGGTTTGCGGGCAGCGGGCCGTCGAGCACCTGGACGCCGACAAGGTTGAGCGCGGCAAAGAAGGCAAAACCGAGCTTGACCGGCGCATCAAACGCGTCGTCCGGCCCGGGGAAGAGCTCGAGCTCGACGCTGAGCGGGAAGACGGCGTAGTACGAGTCGGCGCGCTCGTCATCATCATCGTCGTCGTCTGCGGTGGCGACGCGCTTGGCTGCCGATGGCGACGGCGGCTCGAGGTCTGCGGCGGCCTTGGCGGCCTTTGCGGCAGCGAGGGTGGCAGCGGCAGTGTCACCGGCAATGGTCAGCGCCATGGCAGCGGTGGATGCCGCGCCGTTGTAGGCCAACAGCTGTGTGTAGAGCATGTAGAGCGGCGAGGGCAGGAGGCCGAGGCGCTCGCGGGTCTCTGCATCAACGACCACCAGCGATGAGCCCATAGCATCGACGAGCGGCTGGCCGGCATGGAGGAACTTGTCGAGCTGGATGTGGAGCGAGTCGAGAAAGTCCGAGTCGGAGGCGAGGCGCTCCTGGGTCTCCTCCACGGTCTTCTGCTGGGCATGGAGCTCGTTGACGAGCTTCTCGCGCTGTGCCATCTCAAAGGTCAGCCGCGCGAGCATGACCTCGTGATCGGAGAGTGACTTGGCATCCACAGCAGCATCAGCGAGGGCATCCTTGGCAGGCACCAGGTCGAGGGCATCGCCGGCAAAGGCAAACTCTGCGCAGCGCTTGATTTCGTTGAGCACGACAGCCTTCTCGTAGAGGACCGACTCGAGGCCCAGTTGAGCTTCATCCAAAGCTGTAGACGCTTCAGCCAGCTCAGCCTCCTTCTCTGCATTCGCCTTCATGACGCCTCGATGTGCTCCCCTAAGTCGCATTAGCGTGTGTGAGCCAGCCGCCAGCGCGGTTTCGTCGACGATCTGCCCTGCCTTGGCCGACGCCACCAGCCCCTCCACCGTGGAGCGGAGCGCAGCCACGAGGCTTGTGACGTCTTCCAGGTGGTCAAGGGCGCTCTCGCCGTCTCCATGTCCTCGCTTGCTCATGCCAGAAAGGTGTGTGCGTGGGGGGGGGGGGGGGGGGGGGAGGAGTGGTGTCTTGTGTGTGCGTGTGTGTGTGGGTGATTCGGTGGCCGGCTGGTTGTTACTCACCAAAGTGGTTCTTAAGGGTTATGATGAGGTTGTTGGTGTGGAGAGGATCCTTGACGACAACGCCGTCCATGGACCAGCCCTCATGGGGAACGTCCTTGTTGAGGAACATGCCCTCGATGAGCTTGAGGTTTGCAAGACGTTCTGGCTTGCGATGTGCCTTTTCGGTAAAGTCGTCGTCGGCCTGGCGGCCGGTGAGAATCTCGGCGAGGCGCATCAGGATGATGCCGTCGGCTAGATCCGAGTGGAGATCGCGGACCTTCCACATGGCGTCACGCATGGCAAGCTTGGAGTTGACCCAGCGGGTGAGGTCGGCCTTGAGAGCTTCGTCGCGCGAGATGGTGTCGCGGGCACCGGTGTAGGCGGCCATGATGCGCGAGAGGATTGTTTGCACGGTGGTGATGTCGCCGCGCATGACGTCGGCCTCGCGCAGATCGCCGACTTTGATGCCATCGGCACGCATGCGCTCAAAGACGGCGGTGGCGTTGTCGAGCTTGGCGGCGCCGTCGAGAAACTCGGTGTGGTAGATGTGCTCCGGGAACATGACTGCCGTCAGTTCCTCGATGAGCTTGATGAACAGGAGCGAGTCGCGGAAGTCGTCGTCGAGGTGGATGACGCGGAGTTTGTGCGGGAGGAGGATGCGGTTGGCCCAGTCGATGAGGACGTCGGCCGGCTTGACGGTGACTGAGGCAGCGGCGGCAGCGGCGGCAGAGGTCGAGCCCGACGACGACGCTGACGGTCCGGAGGCACGGGTGACGCTCTGCAGCTTGCCCGAGGCGACGAGGCGGGTGAGCGAGTTGGGCTTGTAGCGGCCGCCGTCGAAAAAGTCGCGGATGGCGGCGACCATGCGACGGACCGGCTTGGACGAGGCGTTGACAACGTCGGCCGGGCTCCATGTCTCGGTCTTGAGGCCGAGCAGCGGGAGCATGGTGTGGAGAAGGGTGCAGTTCTCGAGTTGGGCGGTGACGGTGTTGGGCGCGATGTGGTACGGCGGGAGGCTTTCGCCGGTGAGGACGCGGAGGACGTCAAAGACTGGAATGCCGCCCTTCATGTCGCGCTCGAGCTCGGTGTAGCGGATCGAGGTTGACGATGAGGCGAGAACGGTGTTGATCCAGTTGAGGAGCATGGCTGATGACGGCAAGGCGGAGTTGGCGGCAGCCACGGCGGAGGCGCGCGGGCCGGATGCGGCGCCGCCGACGGTGGACGGCGGCGGAGCGCCGGTGCCGGTGCGGCCGGTCGGCCCGCCGGCTGCGCCGAAAACCCGCGCCGGTGGGCGGACGCCCTCACGCTTGCCCGACGCCCACTGACAGAGTTCGCGGTAGGTGGGCGAGGCCGAGACCAGCGGCTCGACGACCGAGAACTTGGTCTTGGTTGCGCCAGCATCGATCATGGCTGTAAGCCACTCACGGCGCGACATGACCGACTTGCCGTTGAGCCAGAGGACCGAGCCGGCCGGATCCTGTGAAGGCACGACGAAAAACCCATTCTCACAAGCGTTGGCAAAGGTTTTGAGCCCGACGTTACAGGTGAGGAGGTTGACCTTGCCGTAGAGCTTGGCGACCTGGGCTGAGCCGGACGAGTAGAACTTGAGCGAGGTGCCGACGACCTCGAAGAACAGCTTCTTGAATACTAGGGCGCCGCCCTCGGTCTCGACGAGCTCGATGGAGCCGGCCTTGGTAGCGCCTGCCTCGATGGGGTTGGCCATCGTTTTCTTGCGTCGCTCGTCGACCGGCGCCGGCGCACGGCTGGCCGGGCGGTTCCCGGCAGCTGAAGCTGGCTGAGCAACAACGCGAGCCTGCTGGGCCGGCGCGGGCGCCACGACTTGGACCTGCTGGCGCGGCGGCGGATCGTCAAAGTCATCAAAGGAGATGCCAGCAAGCATGGCCTCGGCGGCGTCGATGCGTGAGGTCTTGGGCGCCTTGCGGGTAACCGGAGCCTGCGAGGCCGAGGCTACAGCGGATGACGTTGCGCTCAGCTCATCCTTGCGAACAAGCACCGCGCCGCCCTGGCGAACCAAGGCCGTGAGCCATGCCTTGAGTTCGTCAAAGGTAGCAGTGACGAATCGCATCTTGATGGCGGCCTGCGATGCGAGCGAGAACTCGAGCTTGCCCGGTCCGACCTCGACCGATGCACCGCGGACCTGAAGGACGATGAGCGGCCTGCCTGACGAGGCACTAGCAGCATCGCGATAAAAATGCAGCACACCGGCAGAAGCCACCAGCTCGCAGAAGACACTCGCCCATGACCCTGTTCCTCCGTCTTTCCTCGTCTGCAGACTTCCACGCTGCGACAGTGGAGGGTGAGTGGGAGGGTGAGGGTGAGGGCGAGAGATAGAGAGGGAGAGAGAGAGAGAGAGAGAGTGTGTGTGTGGAGGGGAGATTCTGGTGAAAACACCTGAGGGAGGAGACAGGCAGGCAAGCGTACCATGGTGTGAAGAGGGAGAGTGTGTGAAGGTATGTGGGGGTGAGGGGGCAGGTGTTTGTTTTTGTGTGTGTATGTATTTGTGTGTGTGTGTGGGCGAGGGGTATGTGTATGTGTGTGTGCGTGTGCGTGTGTGCGTGCGTGTGTGGTGGTGTGTGTGTGGGCGTGTGTGTTGGCGTGGAGGTTTGGTGCTGTGACGGTGTTGGTTGCTGCCATTATTGGAAATGTCAGCCGAAACGTGCGCTGTCCGGCCAACACCATCTCAAGCTCTCCCTCCCTCCCCTCCCCCCCCCCCCCCGCACCCAGCCTTTGCCCTAGCCCTCTTCACAGCCAGCGAACAGCAAGCAAGTTCTCTCTCGCCCACTTTGCGTGCCGTCTCCAATACCTCTAACTCCTTCTCGAGAGTGAGGCTTGTCTGTGTCTTGTGACGCAGGAGGTGGGTCTTTCCCCAGGGTCGCAGACATCGGCAGTCCAAGGGCGCCCGTGGTCAGCTCGGCCACCATTATGTCGAAGGATGGAGCGAGCTCGAGCGGCAGTGTAGTCAAGGGCGATGGAACCGGTAGTGCTGGGCTTGGGGGTGATGCTAGTGGTGGCTCGGGTACAAGCACGAGCTCGCATGTTCCACTGCTGCGGCGGGCGGTGCGCAAGTCGGTGGTGGCGTCGAGGCTGAAGAGTGTGCTCGCGGCGGCCAAGTCGTCTGCGGCCGACGGCGGCGAGCCGGGCACCGAGGCTGAGTCAGCGGACCCGCCGCGGAGTGCGAAAAAGTCTGCGGCGGCTCGGTTTGCAGCGATTGCGCGCAAGGCGAGGGCGAGCGCCGGCGGGGCGGCGGGGCCTGCGGTCAAGGTCCGGGCAGCGGTGGAGGCGTTCTCGGCGGTTGTGCGCCGCAATCGCGATGTGGCTGATCACAGTGACACCGAGCCAAAAGCTGAAGCAGGGTCGTCGTCGCCAGCTGGCCAGGAAGCCTTGGTTGTTGAAGTCGCCGAGACAGGCGAGCGGCCGGGTGCTACGCGGCCACCGATGCTGGTCATTCCCGAGGGCGGAAATGACGAGCTGGTGCAGGAGGCGTCGGAGGCAATTGAGCTGCTCAAGCAAGACCCGCCGATCCAAAAGGCCGGGTACGGCGGCGAGTCTGGATGGGACTTTCCCGAGTTTGACAAGGATGCAGTGGTGGCGTCACTTGGGCTGACGGACGAGCGGCTATGTGACTACCGCGAGGCATTTGAAGAGGCTGATCTTGACGGCAACGGGTACCTCTCGCTCCACGAGTTCAAGTCGTGCACGTACATTCTCGGGCACGCGCGGTCGCCGGCGTTTGTGCAGCGAGTGCTGCGGCAGTTTGGGCTTGTGGACGCCAACAATGACGGGCGGATCTCGTTTACCGAGTTTATCACGTTTTTGAAAAGGCGGACCTGTTTCGATACCTCTCATACGTGGAGGCGTTCAAAATGCTGCAGGCCGACGACGAGAACTACATCCGCGAACGTGCGCTGGCGGGTCAGATGCTGGAGATCGGATACCGCGAGCCGCCGCTGGCGTCCAAGGAGCACTTTGGCATGTTTGACATGTACCGGGCAGGGGTGCTGGGCATTCCACGGCAAAAACTGGCGACGACCAAGGTGAAACGGCGACGGCGGATCATGAAGAAGCTGAAGAGTTACAAGCCGCGCAACAAGATGAAGCGCGGTGAGTTCCTGGCGGCGCTTGGGTACACCGGCAAGACGTACGAGGATGTGACTGTGGCGACATGGCACTCGCTGTACGCACAAAGTGTGCCGGAGCTCACGCCGAAGAGCGTGGACCTCAATCACACCATGTCTGCGCTCAAGCGCAACTCGACGCTCACAGGATCGTCGTGTTCGCTAATTGATTACGCTGGGACGCCACGGGCCGCCGATTTGCCGCCGATCCTGGCGCGCGAAGTCGGGCTCGCGACCGACACTCCCGAGTTTGACGTTGTCATTGTGGTGACAGCAGTGGCGTTCTACCTCGGGTTTGAGGTGCGTGTGACGACAACGCCGCGGTCGACGGTGTCGGACTTGCGCGAGCTCATTGGGGCACAGACTGGGCATGCGCCGGAGCTGCATCGGCTCTATCACGAGGGTTTCCATCTCCACGACTCGACGCGGAGTCTCGCGTCGTACAACATTGGCGACGGCTCGCGAGTCTCTGTGGTCACGCTCCCGCTGACGCACCTGCTCGAGTCGGACAAGGTGTTTGACGGCGACGGAGCGCCTAACTTGCCGAACATCTACGAGCACTTTCGGTGGGAGGGACTGCTGCGTGTGGCGGACGCGCTGCGGATCATCACATCGGTGCAAGAGGTGCTTGCCCGCGAGCCAAACATGGTCCACGTCTATGAGCCGGTCAACGTGGTCGGCGATCTGCACGGACAGTTCTACGACCTCGAGACGATTTTCGAGGCGGGCGGGGACCACTTTGAGGGCGGCGTCAACTGGCTCTTCCTCGGTGACTACGTGGACCGCGGCTACTTTTCGTGCGAGGTCATCTTGTACATTTTTGCGGCCAAGCTCAGGTACCCTGCGGCGATCAGCCTCGTCCGCGGCAACCACGAGTCATCGTCGATGACGCGGCGGTACGGCACGATTTCCGAGTGCCGCCACAAGTACGGCGGCGAGGACGGATCTGACACGACGGTCTTTGACGCCCTCCTCGAGTGCTTCCAGCACCTGCCGGTGTGCGCGGTGGTGCACTCGGCCGGGCAGAGGATGCTGGCACTGCACGGCGGCATCTCTCAAGAAGTGATCGACTTGGAAGAGTACCTTGCCGGCTACGACCGGGTATGCGAGCCTGAGGGTCCGGTCAAGGGCCTACTGTGGAACGATCCATGGGACGACTGCTACATCGGGGTCGAGTGCGAGCCAGCGCCGCCGCCGGGAGCGCCACCGCAGATTGAGCTCAACGCGGCGCACACCGAGCTCGACCTGCGGCTTCACCCCGAGCCTGTGCCAGACACGCGACCGGACGAGCTCGACCACGACTCGGATAACTACTCGTCGAGTGGCGAGAGTCACGCCGGGCTGAGCGAGAAGGCTGACGACGACGGGCGCAGAGCAGACCTGACGGTCGACTTGACGGCAAGCAGCTTGTCGCGGACAGTGCCGCCGACGCCACACCCCAACGAGACGTTTTCCGGGAGCCGGCGGCGGATACCGTCGTCGTCGTCATTTGCAGACTTGCTTCCGCACGAGCAGCCTGTTCCCGCTGCCGACGTAGTGGATGTCGACACGTCGCTGGAGGCGTCGCTTGATCTCGCGCTCGAGGAAGAGGGATCGTGGGACGGCGTGGAGCAAGAGGAGGATGTTGACGGCGAGGTTGAGGCCAAAGACAAAGATGGAACTCAGAGTGTCGGCCAACTCAAGTCGAAGAAAGCCAAGAAGGGCAAGAGCAAGGACAAGGACAAGGACAGTGGCAAGGGCAAGAAGAAGAAGAAGAAGAAAAAGAAGAAGAAGAAGAAGCGCAAGTCGAAGGACAAGGCCGAGAGCGAGTCGTGTGCGTCGTCTGCGTCGTCTGCGTCGTCTGCGTCGTCTGCGCGATCATCGGGCGTGCCGTCGCCATGGGTCGACGAGTCGTCGACGAGCGACGGGGCCGGGGCCGAGTATGACGGCGGATGGGCCGCCAGGTTGGGCTCGTCGGGCGAAGCCGAGGGCGCCGGACCGGCGGCGGCGCGGGTGGACGGTGAGGCGGGTGTGGAGGCAACGATGGACCCCCTGCTCGCGGCGACCGACTCGGTGATGGAGCACGAGGAAGCCGAGGTGCTGGATCGACTGGAGCGGTCAAAGGACGACCTCGTGTTTGACCTCAACCAGGTGCGAGAGCTGTCTGCGGACGAGCTTGCGGAGCTTCCGCCGCACGAGACGCTCGACGAGGCGTCGTTTCGGCCGTCGATGCGCGGGCGGACGTGCCGGGAGTTTGACTACGCGGCGGTGTGCCACTTTCTGAAGCGCAACGGTATGATCTCGATTCTCCGCGGGCACCAGGTCCCGCTTGACGACGGGTTCGACGTGTTCAAGCCTGGACCGCAGTACGACTTTCCGTCGATTGTGACTGTGTTTTCCGCGCCCAACTACACCGACGACCACATGCAGGTGGGCGGGATGGCAGTGTTCCGCGATGGCGTGATGGTGTTGCGGCGGTACCCATGGAAGCTGCATCCTGTGTGCTACCCGGTGGGCCACAAGTACGCGTACACGCGGCATCTGCACTACGAGGACTTTGTACAGTTCCTAGCGCACTTTTATCCGCAGTGCACCAAAGTCGAACCGCTTTGGGTGCACCTCCGCAAGTCGGGGCGCGTGGCAGAGTTCATTGCCACGGCCAACGCGCGGATCGACGACCCGTCGCTGCACGTGTCAGTGGCGGATTTACAGTATGCGACCGAGCCGTGGGAGTTTCTGCGGGCGCACATCACAGACATGCTGGGCAACTCGGACAAGCCGATGGTGCGCGACTTGCACAAGCATATCATCCACGACGTGCACGCGTTCTACAACGGATTCGACTACATCCGGCACGCGCTCCGGCGCGAGGCCGAGTACGAGCGCATGCCCGAGACGCTCGAGTCGTCCGACTCGGAGTCGGACATGTTCTCGGACCTCTCGTCGTGCACCTCGAGCGACGACATGGACGAGACCGGCGAGTTTTCATCATCGTCGTCGCTGATGGGCTCAGACTTTTGAGTGAGTGAACATAGATACAGAAGGCTACGTGCGCTTCCTTGGCAGCGTCCGCTGCTTCTTTGGGGGACGTAGCGGGAGGCGAGAGGAGACAGACTTCCGCTTCCGGGTCTTGGTGGCGGTCTCAAGCGAGACAATGAGGTCAGCGGATGGCGGCGGGAGGGTGGGCGGGAGGCGGGAAGGGCGGCGGCGAGGCGGGGCGGCGAGGCGCGGGATGGGTCGCGCGAGAACACGGGCAACGCGGACGCGCTTGCTGCGCTCGCCCTGATCGTCGTCGCTCCAAAACTCGTCGGCGTCGGACGATGACGACGACGAAGACGACGAGGGAGCAGCGGCGACAAGCGAGGGGCGTGATGCGGCCGCTTGGTGCTCTGCACGGGCGCGGCGTGCGGCGGCGCCGACGCGAGCGGCGTATTCGCGGGCGGCACCGGCGGTGGACCACTCGTCCTCGGACGCCATGTCGTTGAGGACCGGGCGAAGCAGGCGGCGGGCATAGGAGCGAGCAAGGTGGGCAATGGCAGTGAGCGCGGAGAGTGAGAGCTGGCCCTCCATGTCGGGCAGAGCGTCGGCCATCCACGAGCCGGTCTCGGCTACAGCGCGGAGTGCGGTGGGCGACGGGCGTGGGTCAGCGGCGACGGTCTCGGGCGAGACGACCGGCTCGAGGATGGGAACGTGCTCGATGGCGGCCTTGACGCCGATGCGTGCGGCATCGCGCTCAAACTGCTTGCAGGCGTCAGCGAGCACGGCGTCGTCGTCGGTTGCCAGCTCGCGCTCAACAGCGAGGCGAGCGGCAAACTCGGCGGCCGGGTGCTCACGATCGAGCCAGACGGCTTGGGCCTTAAAGTACTCGGCCGAGTCGTTGTGGGGCGGCGGGGGGAGGGACGATTGAGGTATCGGGGAGTAGACTGGATCGGAGGCGCCGTGCTGAATGCGGCGGCGGATGTTGGACTCTGAGGCTGTGGATGCGAGAGCAAAGGAAGGCGGGAGCGGCGGGCGCCACGAGTGCGGATCGCCGGGAGCGAGCTGGGCGAGCGAGCGCGAGACAGGCGTCGGTGCGTCGTTTCGATGAGTGGTCGAGTCATTGCCACTGTGCCAACGGGCAGGGATCTTGGCAAGGACGTCGACGTCGCTACGGGCCTTGTAGCCAAGCTGGCGATAGGTGGGAGCCTTTGGATCCCAGGCGTAGACGGCAGTGGCATCGACAAGCTCTGGGATGGCTGCAGTGGCCTGATGCGAGGCATGCGGATTCAACAGACCAATTCTGTTGTAGCTGTACGCCAGCGAGACAAGCGAGTCCAAGCCGCGTGGCTCGCGCAGAATCTGTGCCCTTGCCGCCCGCTCGAGTTTGGAGGTGTCGGGCATACGGTATCGGAGCTGTCGGTCGAGCGGGAGGTCGGGGACGAGGCTTCGTTTGAGCCGCTTCTGGAGCCATCGTCTTCGCTCCCACCGTCTCAGCGACCGAGCTGTGGATGGATGGGCGTGCGGTGGGGGTGGGGGTGGAGAAGGGGGGGGCATTTGGGTCGGGTCGGGGGTGGAGTGTGGCACGTGGGGAGAGGGGAGGGAGAGGGGAGATGGATCGGTCACTTTGGGAGGGGGTTGGGGGGGGGGGCAGTCGGAGTCGCCGTAGCTGTGGTGATGGATGTGGTGATGGATGTGGTGATGGATGTGGTGATGGATGCGATCTGTGGCGGCTGGCGACTCAAGTCACAGGCGAATTGAGATGAACGAGAGTTCCGTGGAAGGCGACAAAGACGAGGACGAGGACATGGTGGAAGGGAGGTGGGGGAGAGGGGGGGGGGGGGGGGGGGGGGAGGGTGACGGACAGAGGCAGACTTGACACACAAGACGGACAAGCAAGTCGAGGTTAGCAATGACGGCAGGAGTGATGTTCCAGAAGGTGCTTGGAGCAAGTCTGGGACCTGTGCTTGTGGCGCATGACAAGTTCTATGGTTGGCTCAATGCGGCTCTGACGACGGTGCTCGACGGACAGGGCGACCGTGTTCCATCGTGGCTGACGGCGGATGCGGTGACATGGGCTCGTTCCTTCCTCCTCATTCCGACGCTCCTGCTCTTGGCGGGAGGTCATGGCATCCTTCCGGCGATCCTGGTGCTTCTGGTCGACTTTGGTGACTTTCTCGACGGCGTGGTCTGGCGGTGGTGGGCCGGGCGGAAGGCGGCGGGTAGGCCGGCCGGCGGGGCGACGCAGCTCCCGCTGGCAGCCGACGTGCTGACGGGTGAAGATGCTCAGCCTATCAAGTTTGACGCGGTGTATGCGTCGCGGCGGGCGGCAGGCCTGGCCAGCAAGTGGGGCCAGTACTTTGACGCGGTGGCCGACAAGGCGTTCCTGGTTCCGGTGTGGATCTCGATGGCGGTGCTGCCGGTCGGTGCCAATTCGATCCTCTCGCTGGTGGCGCTCTGGGCGCTCGCCGGGATCGAGGCGTACTCGGCGCTCATCCGGACCAAGCGGTACTTTTCGGATCCGGTGGAGGTGGCCGAGGTTGCTGTGGCCGACGCGGCCAACGACTCGGGGGTCAAGTCGGACGAGGTGGGCAAGGCCAAGCAGACGTTGCAGATGGTGGGGACGGCGCTTCTGCTTTGCCCACTCGGGGCGTGGTACCTCGGGCTTGTGCTCCTCTTCCTCGCTATTCCGCTCGCCGGCGAATCGGTCCGGCGCAAGCTCGTCTCGCGGCGGATCTTTGCGCCGCTTGAGATCCGTGGCGGCGGAGTCGACCTCGCCATGCTGCAGTATGTGGCCAAGGCGGCATCGCTTGGCTCGCACCTCACGGTCGGGGTTGTCTCGTACGACGAGGTCTCGCTCAAGGACGACATGCGGCTGATGGCACAGGTCAAGGACGTCGACGCCGTCGTTGCTCTCCTCCAGGGCGACATTGCGGTCAACGAGGCGTACCTCAACGACATGGGCTTTGACTACCTTGTCCTTCCGCGCCCGACGCCAGCGTGCCCACGCTCTCGGAGGAGGACTACGATGCAGGGCTCGTTGCCGCCGGCAAGGTCCATTTTCTCGCGCTTTGAGCGTGCCCACCGTCGCAGCCTCGTGAAGAAGAAACGACGTACATACTGCAGGTAGTGTATTGGGTCGGTCAGGCTAGGCTGTTGTTGATGATGTTGGTGGCAAAGTCGGCACGTCCTGCGGTAAAGGTGTCGCGGCGGAGCTTCCAGCGGTCGACGACGGCGTCGGCGTTCTCGAGGCGAACGTAGATGCCTTCGGCCTCATCAGAGCCATAAGCCGACGTGGTCTTATCGAGGGCCGCGACAAGGTTGTCGAGCTTGGCGCCTGCGGCTGGAGCGTCGAGGAGGAGCGGGACGAGCGGGAAGACGCCTGCGTCGACGAGCGGGGCGAGCAGGGCCTCCACCCGCGGGCGCGAGAGGAACGTCTCGGACGGCTTGTGGAGGACGTCAAAGGCGATAAAGTAGCTCTGCAGAGCGTCGTAGGCCACGGCATGGCGGGCCCACATCCACTCACCGTAGAGGACGTAGTCTGTGGAGAGGACGGCGAAGAGCGCCTCCATGTGCTCGTAGATCCAGTCGCGGTAGACGTTGTACTGCGGGTGCTTCTCCGAGCCGATCAAGCCTGATCGCTTCTGCATGACCGGCTCCCACTCGCGCTCAAAGTGGACGCCCACGTTGGCGCCATCAACCTTCTCCTGCACCACATACCGTAGCTCGGCAGAAGTCGACGAGCTCTTGACCGCCCGGGCGATCGACTTCCAGCTCACCGACTTGTCGTCGTCGACGACGGTCGATCCCTCGAGATGCGGCGTCTTGGGGTACTTGTAGAACTTGGCCGAGGCTGCCGACATGAGCAAGGATTGTGGCGATGAGTGCGAGGACGAGAGGTGTGCGGCATGGGGCGAGTACGGCTGGAGTTTTGTGGACGGAAATGGCTGCGAGCCAAATGGAATCGTTGGCTTACTGGAATGGAAGATTGCCTCGAACGGCGGCGACTTGTCGCGAGTTGGAAGCGTGGGCGGCCATGGCTGCCGAAGAAGAGCTGCAGTTCAAGGTGGTCATTGTTGGCGATGCGCATACCGGCAAGTCGACGATGGTCCGGGTGCTGGGAGGAGGAGATGCTGAGCCAGCGGTGATGGTTGTGGGCACAACGATGGTGAGAGTCGACACAGCTGTGGACGGGCAGCAGGTGTCGATGAATGTGTTCGACTCGGACGGCGCCGAGGCGTGGCGGGCGCCGGCCCCGGCATTCTTTCGCGGCGTGCACGGCGTGGTTCTGGTGTTTGATCCGAGTCAGCCGGCGACGCTAGAGTCTGTGAGCGGGCGGTGGGCCGGGGAGCTGGAAAAGTGTGAGTGTGCGGCGTCGGCGGGCGTCTCGATCGTTCTTGCTGCACACGAGCGGCATGGGGCGGCGATGGACGACGTGATGAAGACCAAAGCCCGCAAGGTGGCGGGGCAGCTCGGCGCGGCGTTTGCCGTCTTTGATGCGGCCAAGCCCGAGTCGGTCTCGGCTTGCCTCGGCGACCTCGCGCATGATATGTTCCGGCACCACACACAGCCACGCACGCTCTCGATCATGATGGCTGGAGCGCCGGGGGCCGGCGCACGGTCGATCTGGCGGACGCTGCTGCATGGGCCCGAGTTTGGGACCGAAATGGTGTCGTACGACGTGAGCGTCGACTTTGCACGGGTGCTTCTCGAACAGGGGCGAGCCGAGGCCAGAGTCTGGGCGCCGGCGCACCGAGTCGGGGAGATGGTGATGCAGACGGTTCACGAGCGTCGCATGGGTGATGTGGACGGTGTCTTTCTTGTGTATTATCCCGCCAAGCCGGCGACGATTGGCGGAGCGGCCGAGGCGTGGGCAGAGATTGGGCCGTTTATGGCCGACGATGTCGTTGTCATCCTTGCCGCCCACATGCGGCACGGACATAGTCAAACGGGCGTGGCCAAAAAGAGGGCAGCTGCGCTTGCTGACGCGATCGGCGCGCTTGTGGCCGATGTGGATGCAGGTGAACCGAGCTCGATCCATGCGTGTCTCGAGATGATTGCCGGCGGAGCAAAGTGCGATCGAGGCGGAGGCAGCGGTGGCGGTGGAGGTGTGTGGAGGTGTACAATTGAATGACGTGCGATAGGCGTGCGCGCGCACGTGTGTGTGTATGTGTGTGTGGACTATTTATAGCTTGTGTGTATGTGCAAGAATCGATGCAGACCAATGGCAGGACCAGCAGCAGCAGTTGGTGGCAGACATTGGCACCTGTCGTCAAGAGTACGTGGGAGCGAATTCCGTGAGCGATCGTGGGGGTAACGGGAGGAGGGAGAAGGGGGCATTCTGTGACTTCCAGATGGTCTCCATCGTGTTTTTGTGGCGACAGAAGACATAGACATGAAGCAACGTCGTTTTCCATGTTCTTGCGCTTGTGGTGGTGGGTGTGTGGCGTTGGCGTTGCCGTCGTGCTACAAGTGGCTGCTTGCTGGCTGGGCCGCAGAGCGTTGGCGATTTTTTGGCGAAGCTGACCAGGGAAGGGGGTGTGGGGGTGTGGGGGAAGGGGTGTGGGGGATTGGTCATGGGTGTATGTACACTCATGTAATGCGTATGTGTGTTTGTATGTGTGCGTGTGTGTGTTTATGTGTGATTATGCGTGTGCGGTTGTGGGTGTTGTGGGTGGTGTGGGTGTTGTGGGTTGTGGGTGTTGGCGGTGTCGTCGACGGTGTTCGTACAACATGTGTGTGTGTGTGTGTGTGTGTGTGTGTGTGTGTGTGTGTGTGTGTGTGTGTGTGCGATTGTGTGTGTGCGGTTGTGTGGGCGCACCATCATGGACGTGGGTACTTGTGGATGGCGTCGATTAGTGGCGGACTCTGAAGCAGGAGCGGCCGGGGATGACGGGAGCCAGCCGTGGGGCCGGCTCGTGACGCTCAACCGCAAGAACACGCACATTAAGCTGGCAGAGATGAAGACGCTGTTGGGACGCAAGGGATGCGACCACAACTTTTCGGACATTCCACTGCTCTCGTCTAAACACTGCCGGATCATCCGCAAGGAGAAGGACGGCGGGCGCGACGACGACGACAACTCGCCCGAGGGCCTGGTCGACTTTGAGGTGGAGGTTGTAGACCTCTCGACGAACGGCACGTTCATCAACGGCGTCAAGATCGGCAAGCGGAACCGGGCGCGGCTCCGGCACGGCGACGAGCTGTACCTCTGCGATTCTGTGGCGTACATCTACACGCACCTCAACCTCAACATGCCGCGCGAGCTCGGCGCCAACGAGGTGGGCGACCTCTCGACGCCGGAAGACTACATCAACGCGATGCGGATGGGGGTCTCGTCGGCGGTGCTGAAGGACCTGACAGTCTCGCTGCGGCACTCGAAGCAGAACGACACCGACTTTACGGAGGAGTTTGTGTCGATGGGCGGCGCGGACGCGCTCATCGAGTCGATGACGCATCTCAACGCGCAGCCGAAAAAGTCATCGGTCCACATCGACTCGCTGATGGAGTGTGTCAAGTCGCTGTACGCGCTGATGAACACGCCCGAGGGCTTTGAGGCCGTGCTTAACACGGCGTCGAGCATCGACCAGCTTGTGCTCCTCCTCGACGTCAACGACAACAACCTGCGCAACAAGGTGACCAAGCTCCTTTGCCCGGTGGCGACGCTCAACGACCGTGGGCATGCACTTGTCCTCGCGGCGTTTACCTTTTTCAAGACGCGGCGGCGTCAGCACTCGCGATTCTCGAAACTTCTCGACCTGCTCTCTGTCGAGTTTACGGACAAGTTTACGGACGACGACGTGGCGCTCAAGCGCAACGTTATGATGTTCATCAACGGGGTCGTCTCGTACCCCGAGGACATCTCGTCGCGGTGCCAGCTCCGCGACGAGTTTGTGCAGGAGGGCATCATCGAGGCCATTTCCATGATGAAGAACCTCAACGACGACGCGCTGTCGACGCAGCTGGCATCGTTTATGGAGGAGCTTGCCGAGGACCGCAAGGAGAGCTCGGTGGGTGGACTCAACCTGACGGACCCGGTTGGGGTGGCCAAGGCGCTTTTTGTGCAGCTCCGCGGCTCGCCGCATCTCAAGACCTTTCTCGACGTGCTGCTGTCGCTCCTGCTGTTGCCGTCGGACGATTCGGACGCGTGGCAGGCGCTCTCGGGCGCGCTCAAGCCCGCGCTCGAGCCTTTCCTTTCGCACGATGACGACGAGAACACAAGCGCACTCTCGACCGAGATTGGCGTCGACCTTGACTCGATCAAGTCTGCCCTCGACGGCACGTCGGTGGTGGCTGATCTTGAGGCTGTGACTGCAGCCGGCGCGGGCGGCGGCAACGATCCGAACGAGACCGACGGCGGCGAGTCGCCGGCGGCGCTGGTTGAAAAGTATCAGTCCCAGTTTGCCGAGCTGCAAAAGGTCAACGCTGAGCTACTGCTGGAGATCAAGAACTTGAAGGAGGCAGGCGCAGGAGGTGCTGGAGCATCGTCGCCGGCGTCGACAGCACCACCGCCGCCGCCGGCAGCTTAAGA